TTCCTTACTCTATTTTCTGCTCTTTCTAGCTAACCATTTATTTGTGAAAGTCCCTGTGGCTCTTCAACTGTTTGACAAAGATACCTTATAAGGGGATGTATTCTTAGGAATGTGTTAAAAATGTCTTCCGTGAGTGACATCACAGATTGCATTTGTCTCCATAAAGACAGTAATCACAGAGACTCTGATTCCTGTGTGTGTGATTTATCTGGTATTAGTAATTGTTTTAGCAGAGTTATGGATTTGGGTTTTTTTCCCTGTTATTCCTATTATGGAACTTTAAAGATTTTAGGCCATCTCTCCATTTGTTTAGGCATTTATAAACATGTAGGATGAATACAAAATGGTGTAGGGAAATAATGAACATTTAAAACCAGTATGTGGCCTGACAGGAAAGCAAACTTGACAACTGTTTTCTGTAATTTTTCAGACTCCAGCAAGAGTTTCACTGAATGGGTCAGTGTTTACCAGCAACTTTACTGTCATCTTCTTTGGACATGTTTCCTTTCATGACACATTTGCCTGCCTGCAGCTCCACGCCACTGCCAACATCCAGCCTCATTTGGAAATCCATTTCCAGCATTCTTTGCCTTCACTTCATTCTCTGGGGGTTGCCAGAGAGAACCAAGTGAAGGTGTCAGTCCTGAGAAGTGACAAGTATAAGGGCATCCTTGGTGTTGTCCTTGGGCCTTGCAGTCTGAAAGCTGATGGAGAAGTGAGCCTGGCAAGCAATGAAACACAGTGGGTACTTACTGTCAGAAACAAGTGTGTCAGTCTGGAGGTAAGTCCAGATTGTTTTCTGCATAGTCTGTAGTCTGTGATTTCAGATCATGAGTCACAGAGAACTATCTCCTGACACTGTTATTTATGGACAGGACAATTTTGGCCATTAAAGTTGTTTTGGCAGAGAAATGAGTCGGAGCTTTCACGAGGGAAAGTTTATTTGAAGATGTGAATTTGGAGTAATACAATGGTGGATGTTACCACTGTTGCCATAAAATAGTTGTTTACTAATAGTTTTTTAATTAAAATAAACTTAAGTCCTAGAGTCTAGTGAAAAGCATGTCCTTTCTGTTTGAAACTGTGGAGGTATTTCGGGAGTTAAGGTTTTTTTCTTCTACATTACTCATGAGAAGGTTGTTGTAGGATTTATTCCTTCCCCCCAATTTATTTTGTTTCTGTTGTTTCACTGACAAGTTTCTGATTTCTCTGTGAAACAAGCTGTCTTGTATGGTCCTTTCCAAAAGCAGATTGTTTCAGAAAGAAGAAATGCTTTCTCATGAATCAGGAACAAATTAGGAAGACTATTGCTTTTCCTTGTGTGTTTTAAATAGTACACTCTTTTCTGTTGCAGGAGATGGGATTGCCTCGTGCAGTGGTCTTTGGGGGCTCCTTTCAACAGAACATCTGCAACGTGGGCTTGTTAATGAACCTCCAGTGTGATGGCAGAACAGTTGATGTGCAGATAGACACTTCCTGCCAACACGAATATACACTCCAAGGGATGCTCAGGCACTCACTTCCCTGGCTCAGTCAGCTTGGGCTCCCTTTGGAAAACTCTGTCTTGTTCTCTGCAGCCCCAGGCTCTGCCACAGAGGGCATTTTGTTGCTGCAGGCTGGCAGATGTAGACTTAAGGCTAGAGGAGATCTCTGTATTCAGGATAAAGCTGAATGGACACTGGAAACAGAATCAGAATGTCAGCTTCTGCAGGTAGGTGTTGGAGGCTTTTACAGAGAATTTTGGGGTCAAATATAAGGTTTTAGCTAAAATAACAGTGTTTGAGTGTTGGAAAGGCACTCTAAAAGAACACCTGTGTTACAGCATGAGGCCAAGAATGTGTCTCACAGATCCTGTTCACAGGTGTTCTCTCTAGACTGAGATCGGTTCAGTCTTTGCTGCCTGTTGCCTTCACAGACCGAGACTGCCCTCTAAGGCTCAACTGCAGCATTAGTCTGAACTCTGTCAAAAATATATTCCCTGGTCTGTCTGTTTATATCAAACTAAAAGTTGTGACATTTCCTTGGTTTTTCCACGTAGTCTCTCTGACTTCATTGGAAAGAATGACTCTTGCAAAATCGGGGGGTTTTCTAGATGTTTACAGGCATTTATGTTTTGTTTTCAAATCCCCACATTGAGTAACTTCCTCAACTACAAAGTAGCAACATAACAACAAAAGTGATAGGAGCGTATCATCCATAGTGAAGAGGGAATGAAAACCTCTTAAAGTATTAAAAATAGTAGAATTTTCTGTGGTTTTGCAAATCCTTTGCAAGAGTGAGCAGAAACATTTCATTGGGGATGTTGCACGAGACAAGTTTGATGTTTTACCATTAAAAAAAAAAAATATTCTTGTACCACCAGATGCAAGAATGTCTGTTAGGCCTATTATTTTTTGTGGGTTAATTTGAAAACTGAGATTTGTCTGGTCTGAATGAAGCAGTGTATGTTCAGTAAACTTTTCCAGTCTGAAGAAACAGACATTTTGTATTTTTGTAAATGGAAAACTTCATAAAGATACAGAAGTTGTAAATTCTGCAGGACAGCCCTAAAATCTTCCCTCAGGCCCTATTCAGGCAAAATCTCAATCTTTCTTGTTGAGAGGGAGAAAAATGGCAGCATGGAGATTGTAGGTTTTATCTCTGATACTGTAACATAAAATCTCCATTTTTGTATGCTGAGGGAGAAGAAAAAAAGCCTTAATACACACCTGTATTAAATTCTATGTATATTCCAAAGGGATTCTCTTTTTTAAATCTCAATAGGATCTCAGTTTCCCAACTCAGTCACGGCTCACAGGATCCATTCAGAAAGACAAGTGCCAAGCAGAGCTTCTCTCAGTCCTGGAAACAGAAGGCAAAACTGCCCGTCTTGAAGTGAGAGCAGAGTGCAAGCCAAAGATTACACTGGAAATTCAGTTCAGGCATGACCTCCCCCAGCTGAAGGAAATCCCAAGGGAAAATGAGCTCTCTGTCACTGCACGGAAACAGCTGAAATATTTCCTTGGAATAGGAATGAAAGTGGGTGCTTGTGAGCTTCAAATGAATGGGGACTTTGACCCTGAAAAGAAGCTTCAGTGGAAAATGCTTATAGAAAATAAATGCCAAACAATTCAGGTACTGAAAAGAATTTATTGCTTTACTGCTGCATTTGTGCATCTAAAGCAGGATCTTTGTACCTACTAAAGTTAAAAGACAATAGTCTAAGGATTTCGGTGGTAGCAGAGAAAAGTAAAACATTATCTTCTTTTAGTTACATCTTACCTTTAGGGCCAGTTATTCACTCTATTTTCATATGGTGTAAGCCAAATTTCCTATTAATCAGTACCTACAGTTAATGGACTTCCTTGTACTAACTCTGATGCCTTTTTTTTTAGGCATGGTTTTAAAGCAGGGCTTTAATCTTCACAAATAAAGAGTATTCAAAGTTGTCTTGGGCTTTATCAGTGGTAACAGTTTCTCAGCAGTTTGACAACCAAACTGAAATAGTTTGAAAATATATGAAGTAAATAGGTAATCTTCAGATCAGAAAATTGAGTGTAGAGAAAGTCTGAGAGACATGTTATCACAGAGTAATCTCTAGTTTCATTATACAAGCCAGAGTAAATCTGAATATACATAGATGTGATTCACCTGCCCTCTTCCAAAAACAGAGCTGCCATAATAAACCCTTGTATACTCTTTGGTTTCACCGGAATTATGGATGCTTTGGGCCGCTGGAGCAATTCCAAGCATAGAAAATTGAGTTTTCAGTTAGGCAGGAAGAGCTGCCATGTTGCCCTGTGTTTTATTTATTCCGGCTCATTTATCAAAAATCATCAGACATATTAAAATTAAAAAAGACAAAATGTAAAAAATATAACAAAAAGCTGTCAAGATTCCTGAGGCATCCTATGGCTACGCTGCCTCATATACCTGATTTTACAGCTAGGTGCTATTAAAGCTACTATTAGGAATTAAAAGTTTCAGGGGTTAGGTATTTCTGTGGGTGAGTGTAAAAGTGGTGAATTTAAAAATTTTTTTTTCTTTTATAGGATCTTGGAGCACCAGTGAAAATTGATGGGTCAGGCTACATTTTGATGGATAAAATGAACCTGGATTCACAGACATTGATCACTGTTGATGAAAGTAAATTCCAAGGACTCCTGATACTCAAAGTCACTTATGTAAGTATCCTGCAGGCTGTCAGACTGCATGTACAAATTACTGAGTAATGTACTCTAGACTATTTTATTGGGAGCAAATAGTCAGCTTTTAGTAATAACCGCTAGAATAAAAATAAAATAAAAAATAAAATCTTTGAAAATCTGGCACCTGTAATGTGCAGTAACAAATGTACTGGATAACAGGATCCAGGCTCTGGCACTTCCTGAATCACTTCCTAGTTATTCTCTTTGTAAATTTTGTTGTTTGCATTGCATTATTTGATGTTTCTTATGTCACTGTGACTTACATTGCAAAATAACAGGCAGGGATTAATTGAGACACTGCTGTTTATTTAAGTAAGCCAGTAGATAGGCTGTGAATCTCTTGCTTTCCTGTTGACAGTTACAAGTTTGGCTTTTCTTGTCCTCAGTGCAGGAGAGCAGAGAACACATACAAGTGTCTTATTCTTTGTGATCATTCACTTTCTTGTCATAACTGGTAATTTCTGCATGTTTCTGCCACAGAGAAACAAGATAGCTAGTTGGAGTTTTTTGCCACCAGAGAGAAATATTTACACCTTTTTTCCTCTCAGCTGAAATATATATATATATTTTTTATCCTACCTAGGCTTGATGTTTCTTTTCTCTTTCCCAGTGTAATTTTCCTAAGTTCAGTGCAATTTATTTTAATTAATATTAAATGTAGGACAAAGAGATTTGTTAAATTTCTGGTTTGAGCTCTGTGTTGCAGCAGGCTTTGGGTTCTACATGTGCTTTACTATCTATGCTGTGAAATATTAACAGGAAAGGCAAGAGCTGGATGCAGTGCTAACCCACAACATTCAAGGAGCTGCTGACATTGGCATTCCTATGAAGATGTTAATTGATGTGATATCAGAAAAAAACAGTGACTTCTATAAAAGATTTATTCATTTCAGTGTGAACAGCAAGCAAGTAAGTGTCTCTTCCATGTTAGTGAGATGTGAAGTAGAGGTTGAAGTGAGCTACTTGATTTGGTAAATATTGTTTCTCCATTTGAGATAGTTGTGCATGAGGCCCCTATAGAAATACCCTGCAGGGGCTGGTTTGGTTTTAAAGGCCTTAATGAAATGAAGGCAGTATCTTCCAGCCATTCTTTCTGTGCAGTCACTCCTACAAACAAATATGACAGCAGTAATGATCTGTGATTCCCATTGGCAAATTGTATCAAACCTTTCTTATCCCTTGTCTTCACTTGGTGCAGCTCAGTCCCTTTTACAGTACAGTTCTTCACCATAAAGTTTTCCTCATTTTCATAATTTTACTCTAATGTGTACAATAATTACAATTAATCAGAGAAGTCTCAATATTAGAGGTGTGCCACAGTTAACTTTTGTCATATTTACTTGGACTGAACAGATTACAGAAGAACTGAACTTTGTCCAGAAGTTGGATGTTGTATCTCTTAACTACAAACTCACTCATAACTTAGAGGTGCTGAAGACTTTGCAAATAAAAGACAGGCTTGAGCTGCAGGTAAGTTACCAGGCAATGGCAGGGGAGACACAAATCCAGCCTGGAATGATGCCCTGATGGAAGCAGCAGCTGTAAAAGCGAGATGGCAAAGGACAGAGGGTGCAGATGGGATTTTACATGTTTGCTCTTTATGTGAAGAGGGGAGTCGGGCTGCTCACTTTGTTTGTTCTTAAGGAGAGTCCAGAAGCTCAGCTTGCTCTTGAGGGGTTGGGATAATACCTTGCTAGACCAGAACTTTCCATGGGACTGAGAGAATGGAGGTTGGCTGCCATGTGGGAGCAGCCCAAGCCCAGGTGGGCTGGCAGCCTGCCCTGCCTGAGGAGGGCAGTGCAGTTCAGCTCCTGTGCCTCCTCTGTCCCTTCTACAGACTGGGCAGAGGTGAGTTCTGATGGGATTGCACTGTTTGCATTCCAAATGGTATTTTCCTCCCACGCTCTGATTACCTGGCATATTTCTTTACCTGAGAAACACAAGCCTGCAACACAACACTTACTCTTTATTAATCATGTAACTGCTTGAATAGCATTAAGGCACGGCCATACTGGAAAATACATGTTAAAATGTTGAGTTTAAAAATAAAAGGGACATCTGTAACTATGTTGTGTTATAAAATTACACAAGATGAATTTTTTGACACGTTTGAGATGATACTGCCTCAACTAAAGAAAGAACCCTGACCAACAGGAGCTTTAACTTTTACTAAACTGTCTTTTCACAATTTACCTTTGTTGCACACAGGCTATCTTGAACCTGGAAGTCACCAAGAGCTTTAGTATGAAATTGCTTTATGGTACTCACCTAACAGTGCTCGAAGGACAAATCCAGGAGTTTGAAACAAGTACCAACATAACAGGGAATTTCCATCACACTTTGCCATGGCTGCTACAAGCCAGAGTCCCACCATCTTTACAGGTAGTTTTGGTTTGGCTTTTTTTTTTTTTACACAATTATTATCCTTTATTATGATGTAGTAGCCCATGGTTTGAATGAAAACTACCATTTTGTGAGGTACAGGATGGAAGCTGAGTTTTTCTGATATTTAAAAACTATGGACAGCTAAAACCTGACCTACTGAAAAAGCAAATTTCTTACTGATTGCTTTCTGAACCAGAGTATTCCATTCTGATCAGTGTCAGTACAGAGGGTATTGTTGATATTGTAACTCTACAGGAGCCTAGTTTCATTACCTTGCACAGGAGACTGGAATATTGCTCCTATGCTCTTTAAAGGGAATTTTATACTTAAAGAAGAACTTGTTTGAGTGTTACTTTCAGGGAAGTATTGGAGCACCTATTATCTAGTAAATATTGTCAGTAGGCATGGATCAAGTATCCTTTATATAAAGGGAGTCATGTGTTTGTGGGGTAAAAGAGATCCTAATGAGAATTTGACACGGATCAATGAGGCTGATGTGGTTTGAAATTCATTCAGTCAAATGGACTTTGTACTGGAAAGTCATAGATGATTAATGAAAGGCTAAGATATGTTTTGTTAATGGATAGATTTTTAACATAAGTATAGACTAGAGACAACTCCCTTTCAGTTCCATTCGTCTCCTGTTTTAAAATTAAATAGTATTTAAATGTTGTTTGGAGAACTTATGTCTATGTGTCATTTTTTAGATAGATGTGGTTTTGCAAGGGAGAAACACTACTCAAGAAAGATATGTGCATATTTCAGCTGGAGAAACATCAATCACATACAGAATAAACTCCTATTATGTTGGTCACCAAGTGGATATCTTCTGCCAAAGTGTACACAGCAGTGAGGTACTCCAGGCAGCTGGTTATCCTAAGGCAATCAACTTGATTTTCAGCTTACAGGAATCAGGTAGGTACCTGCCATCCCTGGCAGGTTTTTTGTTCTATAATAGCTCTCTGAGGATGTTTCAACTGTTCCTTCAACAGGTGCAAACTGACTAAGAACTAAAAAGAGGCTTTCTCTTCTTTGTAAGTAAAATTGTCATTCTGAAACTGCATCTGTGATTAGTTACATTACATGTTTTTTTAGCTCCAGGAAACATCTCATGTGGTACAACACCTGGTAAAACAGGTTATCCCTGAGATATTTACCTCCATAAAATAAGATTCCAATATTACACAAAAAAACCTTGTTACACAGTACAAAAAATGTGAATTCCACTGTAGTTTAAAGTAGTCTTTGAAATAATTCTAAGTGGCTTTTGTTGTCTGAACTGTGGGGGGGAGACACACCCACCCTGATGAAGCCAGTCTCCCCTCAAAACTTGACCTGACATAAATCCTCTCTGCATATCACTCAACTGCAGATTTACATTGTGGTCTGTGATTTTGTCTTTTCCATGAAGGGTTTGGGGGTTTCACATCTCTCATCTCACTTTTATCTTGCAGGAGTGTGTACTTTTCTTTTTCAAAAATGAAAAGCTTGTAGGAAAGCGGGGAAAGGGCCTTCAGGTCATGTTGTTTGAGCAGTGTTGGGTTGCTGTAGATGAGTCACTAGAGGTCAGAGCAGCTCAGAGCTCTTCTCTGGAAGTGGCTGCTACTTGCCACAGGCTGCAAGTGGGAACTAAAGGGAACTAGTCAGCTCTCCTGCAAAAAAACATGACTGATGGGAACTGACCTGACACTTTACCTTATCCTGGGTACACAAGCTCTGTTACCTCAAGACTTTGTAAGGTCAAAGCTCAAGGACATCCAAAAAACCTCTACACTCCTCCAATCACAGGCCAAAGCTCTTGTAATCCCGAATGATGACCCAAATGCTGGCTGGATTGATTTTATGCAGGCAGTACTGAAATTCCTCAAAAACATGCCACTCAAATTGGCACTGTCCTGTTCTTTCTATATAGACAACAAAGCCAAGACTGTCTGTGAAATCCAATATGATGAGAAAGATATAACTGTGACTGTGGATGTTGGCACCGACTTCCAACTCTTCGGTGTATTTGTGCTCATGGCAGAGGTGAAGCATTCCATATCACTTCTCCATCATCTGGGACTTCCCTTCTTTCTTAAGGTAATACACCATAGGTCTTTTGCTGTGCTTTGATTAGAGCTGTCATTTGAGTTACACTTACATGAATCCAGAGCACCTCCAGTGGCCTCAGTGAAATTACTCCAGGTTTATACAAGTGCAGATGAGAAGTGACTTGCCCAGTTTATCTGAATCCTCCTTTAACTTAAGTACACAGCTGTTTCCAAGGAAACTGGTCAGATACTGAAATTCCCAGTTTCAGGGTTCATCATTTCAGGAAGGCATGCATTTGCTGTCACCTCCTAGCTGATAAGCTAACCTCCACTTCAAATAACAGGATACACAGTTAAGATACAAGATTAAAGGTCGTCTTTCCTGAACATAAATATTAGACCAATATTAAACCTTCATATTAAGTGCCAGTGTTTCAAGTGAATATTTAATGCCAATATTTTATTGAAAAGTATTAGATATATCCCCTGCTTCTTCCCCCTTAATATTTAGTGAAGTGTCTTTTATCCTCCAAATGTTTCAGTGAAGAAAAGAAGAGCAGAGATGGTAATTCTTGAGGTGCCTTATTCATGTATGAGGTATGACTGTAATCATGGGACTTCAGAAATTAATGTTCCCACAAACTTTGGCAAACGTGTTGATATTTAAGTGTCCTGATCTTCCTCAGGGGGATTCTGTAGCATTTTCAGGATAAAGCTGTAGATGATCCAGGAACTGTGGGAGGAAGAAAATACCCTGGAGTAAAAGATTTGTGGAGCTCAATCTGTTTCTTCAAAAAAAAAAAAATTCTTTACAGTATATGAAAAAGGAGACTGGGGGAGGCATAAACAAGAAACAGTGGCTTTAGACTTAAAGCAGGTAAGGGTATGTGGAAAGTAAGGCTAATATTTATCAATAATGCAAATTAGTAGCTATGGAAACACACAGAAGAAACGGAAAACATCTCTTGAGGTTTTTGGTTTACATCCAGAAAGCATCTAGAAGGCCTGTCTGGAAGATAAACTTCAGTCAAGATGATGGTTTTAAGTGAGTCAAGAGGTCGTGCTCAGTGGAGGTGAAATGTTGAGGCAGAGGTTATGGCATGTGATTTGTTTATTTTCCACCTCCACAGGTGACAGTTCAGGAAGTCCTGACTGAAAATGAAACTGCAGGAGCTCTGAGGCTGACCTATGAACAAAACACAAACTTCTCCTTTGCCATCAGTAGGAAAAAAGACCAGCAAGGGTAAAAGAGTCATTCTGAGCACTGTAAAAATGTCATTAGGCCACTGTGATTCTGTGGAAAAAAGTTACTGTTTGAATCACCAGATCACTGGTGAAATGGATAACAAATCTTGGATAAAGTGAGTAGTCACACCAAACAGTCTGTTCACCTCAGAAAGTTTATGAAGGGCTGCAGATTCCTCACAGCTTGGGGTATGCCTGACTCTTTGCCTGCCCCCACAGCATCAAAGTAGCAGACAGTGAAATAATCCATAAAACTCTAGGTTTGAGCCAGACAAGTACCTAAAATTATACCTTAAGTCGACATAACTGTTTAAATCTTATTAAATCTTTTTGGCACCATTGAAGCTTGTAAAATTACAGAGACTTGGTTTTCTAAGTTGGAATCAGTATGGCTGCATCTGCACAAAACTGCAGGATTTTGAGGATGTTTAAGAGGTGTGATGTTTTCAGCCTTGAGGTATTTCAGATATTTCTTAATTTTCTAGCAAAAGACCTTTGCATTGAAAGTCTTTTAAATTCTTTTAAACTCTCTAATAGTTCTAAGTTTGTAAACTATGTCAGTGCTTGCAAAGTCAAATTCCAAAATACCTCTACAATTTTTTAAAAGCTGGTGCATTTTCTATGGCAAAGTAATTTCTGTTTCAGTGGGCTACATTCTGCCCCTGGGATGCACACAGGTTTTTCACTGAGGTCAAAGGTGCCACTGCTCTTTGGTCTCCTCTACCTTTGTGTGAATGCATCAAAAACTGGGAGCTGGGTGAGTGTTCAGTGGAAGGTACTGCCATTTGTAACTCTGAAACCTGTGGTGGACTTGGAGTAACTCAGATGAACTTGTGCTGCCAGTGAGAGTGTACTTTCTGAAATATTGTTGAACAAAAGTACATTTCTTCCCTTTAGTGAAGAGTTGAATATAAAAGCACTCCAGACTCATCCCTTCTTTCTACAGTACTTCCCCAGTGCAGCTGAAGTGTCTTCTAAGGTAACTATCTGCGAGTTATCTATCACATACATCACTGCAAATTAGGCTTGTCTAATATTTTAGGAGTCAAGCTGCATTATGTCTAGTACTAGTAACTCTGACATCTTTGTTGTTGTCAAGGATGTTCATGTTTTCAGAGATTCTAATGATCTTTTTCTTCTTTCATTTTTCTTTTTTAATTTAATGGGAACTCGAAAAGGTAAATTATGATATGAGTGAAGCAAAAGGCAGACTCTGCCTCAGGATGGAAAAAAGAGATTTCAATGTTACAGCGAAGCTCACTTTGACTGGAACCAGCTACACTAATGCCCTTGAAATAGTACAGACCATGTCCCAGGTTGGTATCATTGACTCTGAGGGCAAACCCAGGCTGTGACTGCCTCATTTTAGAGAGGGGTATTCAGAGTGTGGTTGCCAAACACTGAGGGTCAAATACAGCTCCTGCTCTGTAATGTGTCTTGCCCTTGATTTCTCCAGTAGCTTGAGCAAACATCTGACTGCAGATTAGTTGTGAGTCCAATGGTATAAACTGCTGCTTGATTTTATATTTGTTTGCTCCTATAGATGGAGCACATATATAGGATTTATAGGAAATCAGAGAAATAATATATTACAAACTGACCAATTCCCAGTTTTTATTATGCAGATACCACACATTTCTTTTTCTAAATAAGGAAGAAAAGATGTCACAAATAGATATTGTTGTTTGTGTTATCTTCTGGATTTATTCTGTAAGAGTGGAACTCTGGATGTTGTAAGAATTATACTGTGAGAGGAAAGAGAAAATCAAATTATATATTAAGCAAAGACTATTGTAAAGGGGACACTCAGTTGTTCCATTGTGTGAAAAGATGACTTACTGTAGAAATGAAGACAAGTAGAAATGAATAGCTGCTTATACAAGAGCAATGGGCTTAGAGTATCATTGTACTAAGCCTTTTAAAAACACATTCCTAAAACTAGAACCCTACAGGACTTTATAGTACCAAAATTACACTTAGATTTTTAACTTCTCAGAGAAATTGGGATTTCATGTTTCCTCTCTTTCATTTTTAGTTAAAAATGGTTCCAAGGCAGCTTGTGTTTATGACTGTTTACCAAAAGGGCAACAGGACACGCATGCTGAAGCACATTGCTCTGTGGGATGGCAAAGAGATAAAGGTAACAGGCACTTACACTGGACTCTTCCCAAAGTTGCTTGGAGGTCACAACATTCAGGGTAGGTTTCTTAAGTCTTTTGCCAGTGTTGATAGCAAACTATAAAATAAAACAAACGACATAAATCTGATTTCAAAGTGCATATTCAAAATGCATGTCCAAATGCTTTCAATCCTGGTTCCAATACAGGCCTTCTAAGATCTTATATGCTTTAAACTCATTGTAATCTGGCTGTTAGAAACATCCACTTCAGAATACTATTTCTGCTTTGTGGATGTGGAACATAAAACTTATATAAACTTTTTAAAACTGTATTAGATTCTGGTACTCTACTGCAGTGGGTACTGAAGGGAGCACTGATCACACTGGCCACTACTTTGAGGTGTTAATCCCCCATGTTGAGGCTTTGTTATCTGAAAATAAAGAAAATAACTGCATTGACTTATTTGAGTTGTTCCTCTTCCAGTGTAAGGCATTCTCAGCTTCAAACAGATTATTTTCCTGGCTGTTCTTGCTGCTTTGGGTGTAGCTATCAATCTTTTGCTTATTGCAGGTAGCTGCTGTTTAGCTGGTAGATAGAGGGCTCCTATTTTCACTTGCATTTCCTAATATTGAGCAGAAATCAGCACCCTGCAGTCATTTGGGCTGTTGGGAAGGTGCATGTGTGTGTATGAGCACAGACATTGCTTCTCTGGGAACCAAATGCTGCCCTGCTGCCAGCAAGAGAATGTCCTAATGCCTTTTTCTTTATCAGAAAATGAACAGTCATGATTTGTGGTGGGGAAATCTTACTTGTTTGCTTTTTTTCCTTGTAGTGGAACTTTTCCATCCCCTCTCCATCCCTTTCCCACGGCATGCCAGGGTGAACTTATATGTGAAACATTCGGCACGTAATCACCAGGATGATCTTACTGTCATTTGGAATGAGGAGGACCAGGTACAGCAGCCCAGAGCAAATAAATGACAGGAATATCAAATGGTTCTTTTCTTTTTTTCTGTTTTTTTTTGTTTGTTTGGTTGGTTTTTTTAATTTTATTAAACAAACCAGGGAATTCAAGCAGGAGGCAAACTATCCTCCTTCTTGGATATGTAAAAGACTCCGACTATGGAAGATGAGCAGCTGATATTCCTGTTGGAAACATTTTCAGGCCATACTAAATTTTTTTTATTTGCAGTAAACCCACAACTTGCTGCTTAACCCAAGGCAATGAAATGGATATGCTTCAAAGCAGTGGGTAAAGGCCTTTGAGAGTGGGTGGAAAGAATAGTACAAACATCACATTTAAAGCAGCGTAGGGGAAAAGAAACATAATTTAAGACAAATGAGTAAGAGTGAGCATTACTGTGAGGCTGAAAAGGATGGACAACCTGTTGCATGGGTACAATATTGTGTTTGCCCACACAGAAGTGTGACACATACCTGTACTTGGTGTTTTCAGCTTTACTGATGTAGTCAAAGCTTTTTTGTATTTCACTCTTCTCTAATTAGTGAGAATGGCAAATATGGCACAGTTGAAACCAGTCTTTGACTTCTTAAATTAAGTCAGCATTATTTAAAAAAAATATAAATAGTAAAAATGACAGAACCAGGAGAACTTGGGGTAGGTTGATTTCCAGGTGTGGTTAAATGGGGACACTTACTGACTTGCTGCTAACTGTGCTATCTGTACATGTGTGTTTGAAATGCAGCACCTTGGCTGAGTACTACATTGTTTTCTGAAAATGGAAAGATAAAAGACAATATGTAAAATACATTAACATACAGAATATTTTTTCTTGGGCTTTGACTGTGCAAGCTGTGTCTAAGCACTCTGTGGCAGTGCAGCCTGCAGTGCCTAAAGATGAGACCAAAATTAAGCCTCAACAAACTTAAACATTGTTCATGGTTTTAGTAAAACACAGAGAATAGTTTTACTTTCACCTGTGCCATGTAATTCAAGTAGCAGGAATGTCCTCATTTGAACGTTAATTTGCCTCACTACTTCAAAAAGGACTTTATTAGGCACATAATTCATCTGAGGAAAAGGTACAGGGAAATCTTACTGGGTGTATGTTTGAGGTCAGTATGTGAGAGGTGTTTTATTTCACAAGTTCCTTTTACATCTGTTGCTATGGGTCAGATATCAGTGTCATCTTCTCTGAAGTTTGGAAGACACCGGACAAACTACAGAGCCACTGTTGCCCACCCATTTAATTACACCCTGAAGCAACTGGAGATCCATTCCCTGTCAGAAAGAAGAGGCAGAAAGTACAACCAGCAGGTGAGAGCATGAGAAAGGACTGCAAAATACACACCTGTTATGCTGTATTTACTGTTAGTGTGCCTTTCATCTCTGAGAATGGCAGAACCAGACATCATCCTGAAAAATGTAAAGAGAACCAAGGTCCAAACCACCAGCATTGTTTCCTTTTCTAAGCATAACTGCTTTTGACTGACAGTCTTGCACTTTTAGCATTGACCCATTTTGGATGGTAGGAAGCCAGAAGTGCACAGGGGGCAGCCCAGCAGTGAAAATCAGGCAAATTTTCTCCACAAAGAAACAAACAAATTTCTAGTGCACATACTCCAAAACCCTCAAACAAACAACCTCCCCCCCAAAAAACCCACAACAAAACCTAACCAGAAACCCTTTTGATACCCCTGTGGAGCAAACATAAATTTTTGGACTGTATGGAAAATTGCAACACAAGTGTGAAAAAATATGCAAGACTAGAAAGGCTTTAAAATACAACTACGAGCGCACTTGCAAAGCATATGTAGGGAAAAAGAGGGGGAGGAACTCCACAAATCATCCTTCAAGATTGAAGACTGTAGTTGTATTTTCTGTCTGAAAATGCACTTCATGAATCAGGACACTCCAGTTGCTGAGGCTGAAGACTTTCTGCTCAATAATGAGCTGTGCCAACTGTGCAGTGTTGTTTGTTCATCTGGAGCCCTTTGGAGCTCTTTGCACTAAGTACTCAGTACCTCTCAAGAATCTTATTCAGAGGAATAAATTCTCTTGTAGGGTCATTATTCCAGTGGTGTCATTATTTGCTGTGCATGACAGACCCCAGGCAGCTTCCAGAGAAGGCAACAAAATACTTCCATTGCCTCGGTTGTACCTGTGCTGATCTCCAGGCTACAGAGCCTGTTGCAGTTTTCATTGTGGTTCTGTTTTTCTCCACTGGATGGGGATCATTCTGCTGGATCACCCTGCAGCTCTTCTGCTGGTTCAAGTCTTGCTGCTGGACAAATCCTTCTCTTTGGTTTCAGCTGCAGCTGGCAGGGAATGCCGGGCAGCCTGCTGACATCCGACTGACCCTGGAGGAGAAATCCAAGGTGGACGTCACTGCCTGGGGGGGCTGTGTGACACTCTCTGCAGGCCAGGTAGACTCTAAGAAGGGAGGGGTTTGGTTTTTTTCTTCTGCACTTGTTACCATATGAAAGCCTTTTACTTGAAGCCAATCTTTTCATGTTTCAGAGGAAGAAAAATGAACACTGAAGAATTCAGTCTCAAGTTGCCAGATGTGGTTTTATTGGGGCTGCAGCTTTCCCTCAGGACAGAATTGTCAACCCCTCAGGTTTCCTGGCAGAGATTGAAGCAGTGTTTTATGGATATAGACCATTCAGGGGTTCTCACAGGGGTGTATTTTTGCCCAGGAAATGTACAGCCCTAGGATATACTGAACATTTTTTTTTTTATTAATTATATGCGTCAATTTTTTCCTCTCTTCCAGCTTCAGAGAATATTAAGTATGGAACACCTGCATGCATGTGGATCTCTAGAGCAAAGAGCAACACTGTTTAATGAATATCTAGATCTGAACTGGGATGACAAAAAAATCAAACACAATTTAACATATGAGGTAAGAGAAGGCAGTTGTTATCTGTTAACTCACCATTTTTATGAAAGCTGTTCTTAACAGATGAGAAATTATTTCAGTTTTAGACGTAATGTTGCATGGATTTTAAGAAAGCTTCTGTAGAGTCCCATTTTCCGTGAAATATCAATATTTGACTTTATCTTTTACATATTTCTCTAAATAGGAAGAAAGATAAAGGTAGCATATTAAAGAAAGAAAGAAAGAGTTTTTACCAACTAGAAGCCTCACTTGCGCTCTAAATTTGCAAAACTTTAGAGTTAATTCTGAAGGATGGGAACCAGAAACAAGGCTGATGATCTAAAACACTGTCAAGTGGAAATGTTATGTTTCAGAAAGGTTACATTAAAATCCTGAAGCTACTGGAATAACAAAAGCCAGCACAGGGACAGGGTGAGTGGGCACCCAGGAGTGTCTAAGATCCTGTTGTCATATTTTAGCTTTGTTTTCTTGGTTCATTGCAGAGAAATCAATTCTTGTATCCTGATAAATTCCAGTTAGAAGCTGTTCTAGAAAATATTTTCCTGACCCCATGCACCAAACAGAAGATTCTGGGTAAAATAGAAACAAACTACTGCTCTTCCCTGGATCATTATACAAGCTTTGAGTTCTGTGACCTTCCAAATGTAAGTCTCAGATAAACATACTGAACCTACTTCACTTTAAATGTAATTACTGTTTTGGAGACTCAGTTTTCCTCAGCTGCAACTCTTCATGAGAATTACCATGCTTCTGTGACCTAAATAAATAAACATTGTCTTTTGATGGGCCGAGGCAGAAAAGTTCTGTTTGCCACTGTAGTGTATTCTATAGGCCCTGTTGTTGGTGTAAAGATTCCCACTTCCTCCAAGTTCTTTCTTTCCTATTCCTCTTTCAAAGGTCTTTTAATTTCATGTTTCTGGAGAATATCCAAACAGGCTCATAAGTGATCAAAAAGGAAACTAGAGAGCAATAAAAGTGCCTTCCTTCCCCCATGTGGGTAAATGTTTACTGGTTTTTATGATTGCTCTGCTGGTAGTGATGGATTTTTGAACTTTAATGTAACCTTTATTTCTATTAAACACATAAAATGGAGACTGATCCATGATCTTCCTTAGGTGCACACTGGACCTCTGAGTTGCCTATAGATATTCACAGCAAACACAAAAACTGGAACTTGCAGAAAATGTCTTCATTTACATACGTGTTTTCAGTTCCCAGTGGCTAAAACATGTCCCAGTTTCCAGCAGGTCACGCTCTGTTAGCAATGGGAAACAGAAGCCAAATTTTGATGCCTATGAAAACTTCTTCTAAGGTGTGATAGAGCCTGTTTACAATGCAAAATGTATATGTATGTCACTTCAAAATCAGGTGCCTCTGTATTCTTTTAGATCCTTCTTTCTCAAAGGCATCATGGTTTAAGCCCAGCTAGAAATTAAGCACCAAGCAGCTGCTCTCTCAACCCCTCTCTCTCCCCCCACCAGCCCCGTTGAATGGGAAGGAGAATCAAAGTAAAATTTGTAGGTTGAGATTAAAACAGTGTAATAATTGAAAACAAAGTCAAATACAATAATAATGGTAAATAATAATAATGATAATAAAAAGGGAAAGGAAAAAAACCCCACCCAACCAGGTGATGCACAATGCAATTGCTCACCACCTGCTTGCTGATGCCAGACCCCCTTCCTAAACCCAGATCGGCCCCTTCCAGGTAACTTTCACAGTTTATATACTGGGCATGATGTTCTGTGGTGTGGAATATCCCTTTGGTCATTTCAGGTCACCTCTCCCAGCTGTGCTCCCTCCCAGTTTCTTTTGTGCACTTCCTCACTGGCAGACAAAAAGAAAAAAAAAAAGGAAAAAAAAAAGGAAAAAAAAAAGAAGTCCTTGACTTAGGATAAACAGGACTTAACATACTGATGTTTTGGGTTTTGCTATCGATATTATTCTCATTCTGAATCCAAAACACAGCACTGCACCAGCTACTGAGGAGAAATTAACTCCATCCCAGTTAAAACCAGGACAAATATCCACCTCGCCTCCCATGGACCCCCAACTTTATCAAAATGCCTAGCCAGAGTTGCTGAGAAGTACAGGAGAAAAAAAAAAATGAATGTTTAAACAAAATATAGTTTTCCAACTGTTCCTGTGGTCTTAGGCTGCAATCACTGAATGTATTTTTTTATACAACAGAAACTGTAGATGTAACAAAGTGAGACAGTGTGAGGAGGAGGATGTGCTGATTTCTGAAACTACAAGTTTTGTTCATCTCTTCATTGTGTAAATTCCAGGAGAATGCTACCATTGTACAACTTCTTACTACTCTATGCAGAGCCCATGTTTGGAAGAATTAAGCTTTAACATCCTTTTTTTGTGCATACTTAGGTAATTGTTTTATCTGGAAAACACCAGCTCAACAAAGATAACATCATTTTGCAGTCAGAGAGCAGATTCCACCTTGGTGATCACAGGACAGATGAGGGGTTGATTGGAGTATCCGTAAAGAATCAGAGCACTGCTGATGTGAAGAACTATTCTATGGAAATTGATGTGAGTTTTTATTTTATTTTAGTGGCACTGGGTTTTGGTTTTTAAAGGCCTGCTGCCATCTATCTCCCAAACGGATCAGGTGCAGTGTAAAACAGCAGGCAGCTTAAAATATTCCTGGTTTCTCTAGTTCTGTCTCTAAAGGAGCAGTTACATAACGTCCATGCGGTGTGATCAAGAGAGAGAGGAAGGCACCAACATTAGTTATCTGCAGAGCTCAGGCCCAAATATGATAAGTGTGTATCAAGGGAGTATATCAGTTTTAAGAGGCTGTGTGTTTTTATAGCTCACCTTCAGCATGACTGGTCTGTTTGGGGAGGCTTGGTTTTTCCACCTTACCAAAAAAAAAAAAAAGAGGGAAAGAAAATACAATACTTACAAAAAGCATCATTTACCAGAAAAAAGAACTGGCCTTAAAAAGGCACAGAAAGGCTCATATGATGCTCATCTGAGGCAAATCTCTTCCTTTTACCCTCTGTTTCACATTTGCTTTTAATTTCCTGTGAAATAAATAGGGTGGAGAAGCTGGTGGTGGAAACGGAGTGAGGTAGAAAAGTAATGTTCAGCACCAACCAAACTCTTCAGTAGCAGGAATGTGGGTACTCAGGCTTTCATTGCTACCAGGAAAATTTTGTCCAGGAGCCTCGTGCTATCCAGTCATTCAGCTCCTGAGCCAGTCACTGTGATGCTTGTGCCTATCTTAGTGCAACTCCTGCACAGTGCACAAACATTGGGAAACACTTCCCTCACCACTTACTGTTCTGTGGGAAGCACTGATATTCGAGCATCGTCTCTGAACAATCATTTAATTCTGTGTGGTGGCTTTGAATAAACCTTTTTCCTTTATGGCTGCAGTTAAGAGCCTTTGAAGATATTTGGCTAGGCCTGGCAGGAACTGCTACTTCCTCATCTGTCCAGAGCCAAATCCTGGTGGAGGGGAATATTGATCAGAAAGAGAAAGTAAAAGTGGCAGCTTCAAAAGGAAAGGAGTGCATTCAGTACTACCTGGGGTATCTGAAAGGTATGTACCTTCACTGACAATGCTTGTAGTCATATGGTTTAGTTTTAGGTAATCCTGCAAGGAGCAGGGAGCTGCACTTGATGATCCTTATGGGTCTCTTCCAACTGGAGCTATTCTGTGATTCCCAGCTGTCATTGCTGTGAAGAAGCTGGATGAAAGGCTGTGTCTCTAGTGCCAAGCTAGGTCAGTTCATGGTGATTCAAGGTCTTTCAGATTAAAAAAAAAGCTGAAAGTTAAAACTTGTTACACAAAGGTCAGTTTGGGAGACGTTTCGGTTTCAGTTGTGGATTTGCCTTTCCACACTTCTGCAGAGGAATTTCTCACAGGTTCATGGCCTCACTTGTAAGTGCTGTTATGTATTTGAGATTAGGATCATTAGTTTGTGAATCACTGAAGTCAGAAGTTTGTAACAGTGGTTCAACTCAACTCTCTCCACCCAGACCCTCTGTGCCTTTGCCAACCGTTCCTGTTTATGCTCATCAGTGCTTGGGTAGAAGCGCCTTCGGTGTGTGATTGGGTGGTCCTGCGAGGCTGAGCAGTTTTGAAACATCAAGACAGTGAAGGCTAAAGTGGAAAAAAAGCTTGTAAATCACCGTGACTGAGAGAACTATTTAGACTTACATTAATCCAGTGCTTCATTTGCCGTAGCAAATCTGTATTCGTAAGTCATTCACAAGCCACACAGAAGAGAAAGATCTGACACTGATCTAATTGTCTCCTGTTTATCTCCTCCCCCCCCCCCCAAACACCTAACACACTCAGACACTGATTGATCACCTAAGTAGTAATTAAAAGCTGGCTTTGAAACAATGTCTGTCAGTGTTGTTCCTGTAAATGAAGCTCTGTCTTTTTGTTCCCTAAGGGGATTTGGAAGAAGGAATGGAAGTCAGTGCTTGTTCTGATGGGCAGGAGATGGCTGCCATTAACACCTATCTCAGCATCAATGGGGAAAGGCAGGAAAACACGGGACAAGTGACTCTAGCAGCTGCTAATGGAAGCTTGAGTCTTCTGGCTCATGGATGCGGGGACCCAGTTCTTAAGGCTGAGGTGAGACCCTCGAGTGGCTGTTAACTGCGGTGTGGTTTTCCCGGAATATTGTTTAATTTTGTTAATTTACTGGAACATCTTCCTCGTAGGATTCAGGTGTGAGTTTTGGTGAGTAGCCAGGCAAAATTATGTAATTTTATAAACTCGTAATAACGTTAATTTCACGTTGATGTGAAAAGTTATGGTGAGAATTAAAAAGTTCAGCCATACCCGGAGACAGAAAATACGGGACCCTCTCCTGAAGGGTGGGTCCTCTGAGGAGGGTAAGTAAACAAAGTGAGAGCAGCAGTAACTGCCCAGTATGTTGCTTACAAAACTAAGATTAGTATTCCTGACTGTGCTGTTACTTCTAACAGGGTTTCGCATAGTCTCTGCTTGGAGGAGGCTTTTTGAATTTTCATCCTTAGACCTTCTGTTCTCATGTCTATCTATTGAATAAGGCAGAAGTAATTCCCCCTGAGAAATGAGAGGCCACTGTGGAAATTTGCTGGCATTTAAACCAGTACAAACTTTGAGTGATTTGGACCCAGCACAAGCAGGTTTAAGTCATAAACTCAAGGTTTTTATTAATCTTCTCACAGTACAAGCTTAATGAAATTGGGAGTCTTTTGAAAGCCAAACTGATGGAAAAGATAAAGAAGTTTGATGGATACATGTGGAGATTCAGGAGATCAGTAAGTATCTGTAGAAATCTGAAGACACTATGAGGTGTTCAGGCAGTGTTAATTAAAATCATTACATTGCCTGCAGTTGTTTTGTTTTGCTCGAACATTTACATGATTACTCCTGTGCTGACAGATAACTCAGACAAAAAGCATGTTTCATGTAGAGATCTTGTATCTCTGCACCCACACCGAGGAGTCAGAATTGCCTCACAATGGAGTCAAAGCTTTGCATGAGATCAGTGTGTATTTTGATATTGCTTGTTATTTGGGAACCGCTGTAGGTGCAGCAAGTTGGTTTCCTGTCTGAAGCAGCTGCCTGGCCTTCCACAGCCTTGCAGAAGGCAGCAGGGTTCCTGCTCAGCGGGGGCAGAGCGGTCGCCCAGGCGTGGAAGCAAAGCGGAATCGGGCAGATCCTGAGGAGCAAGGTCCCGCTTTACCTGGATAAAGTTCAAGGCATTGTCCAGCAAATGCAGAACGAATTGCAAAGTAAGCAAAACCGTGCAAAGCGAGGAGAATAAGGACAATGTCAGCGCAGGGCAAACCAAACTTGACTACAAACTATAAAATATGCTGACAGCATAAAGGTTTCTATTTTGATCCAGCAAAAAGTGCTGACCTTGGCTCTTAGTGTACAGAGTGGGAGCCTTGATGCAATAAACCCTAAGTAAGATCTCTGTGAGCACCTTTCTAATGAAATCAGTGATGAGACATTCTCTGCGTCACAGGAGGCCGAGTTCAGTCGGATGAGAACAGAGCCCTAATTCCTAAGCTGAAGTATTTTTGCTAACAATTCCCTGGCAAGCCTTTCCTCCCAAAGGGCTGTTCGTATCCATCCTTGAGTTTTGAATGCTTGTACTAATCGGATTTCACTTGATCCATTTGTTCCAAGCCTATCCAATAGTCTCTAATTCACTGTTCAGCTGGACTGTGGCCCATCCTGAAACTTTGAGTTTCAGCTGTGAGTTCTCACAAGAGTAAAACCTCACTTTGGGCCACTTACCTCTAGGCTCTTCCCACTCAAAAGTTGGATTTAGTTGACATACCATGTTTGAAATCAGTTGTGACCAAACTTTCCTGTTATTAATCAGGTGTAGTTTGTGCAGTACACTCTGATGGTGGCATATTGCAAAGCACTCCTCACATCTTTTGGACAGCAGCAGTGTATTTATAAGGGGCTCAAGGTTAGAGCTAAATGCCTCTTTCAGTTTTCCCTAACACTGTGTCCACATACAGAGCTGTGCAATGTGCCCAAACTGCCACAAAAACAAAGCTGCCTCTTCCTGTTTTGCGTGTTTGGAAGTTGTGCGGAAACAAGCAAACAGCCACTTTGCACCACACCAGATAAGGTTTGTCTCGTTAATGTGTTTGCTTCAGAGCCATTAGCAACTTTGAAGGATGCCTACTATGACGTAACCTTGAAGCCACTGGATGAGGTCTGGAAAGAGAAGACAGAAGAGTACATGAAGAAAATCCAGGCTTTTTTACCCAAAATTGTAAAAGATGCGTGGCTAATGGAACCAATCCAGCTGGCATTAAAGGTTGTGAAAGCAGCCTTGGATACGGTTGGTATAACTCAGTTCTCCATTTTTAATGGTTTGTAAGACAAGGCCTACAAATTTAAGTCTCAGCTTTGAACTATGGATACACAAAAATGATTAACTATTTTGTTTATGGAAATAGTGCAGTTATCTTTACACATAACAAACTTGTGCACAGCTAACCTACTGTTCTTGCAGTATTTGTCCTGCTTTGAAAGCAGTACTTTTCCAGCTAGAGGAGAGGTTGTTTCACTAGTTCTGGTTGAAAGCACAGCAGCAGTCATCTGTCATTCATGCAGATTTACTTTTCTTCCATAGAGGATGAATTGTGATTCCAGCAAACACTGTACAGATTTGGGCTCTTCTAGTTGAAATGAGGAGCATAAAATATATCGTGCCAATTTATATTAACAAAGATACCAATCCTTTGCAAGCTACTGAAGTGCATTAACTCAGTGAAGTATTGCTATACTTTAAGTAATGTTATTTAGGAAGAATATATTTCTGTCCATCATTTGTTGCTGTCGTGAGTAGAGCCTGCCCTCTGGATATTTACCTCTAAATGACAAGATGCTGCCAGGCAAGTGATAAATGCAAGAGTCACTTAAGTGACTTAAGTGCTATTTCACTGACTGTTGATTTAAAACTCGTTAGCAAGTACTGGCCCTGCCCTGAAGGCATCCTGAAGTCGGTTTTGTAATCTCCTCTTCTGACTCTCCAACAGACCACACAGCAGATGTTCAGGTGGGCAGAGTCCACGTTTTCCCGAGCTGTGAGGAAGATCCGGAAGCCCTTGCTCAACCTGTACAGTTTTTCAGCCAGGTAACTGGTGTTCCTGCAGGATCCCTGCTGCTGGGTGCTGTTCTAAATGGATATGTGCATAGTTAGTCTTCCTACCAGTTTGTAGGCTGAGGGTTCTGGACAGACACCCAACTCCTCTCTCCTTTGGGCACAAGACACCCTAATGTTCATTTCTGTTGGCTGTCAGACCCAACTGCCTTTCAACAGGAGCTACTGGGCAGCAAGAGAAGAGAATAACTGATAACTGGCCTTTTATGGCCTTGGGCAGTGCAGCTGTTGGGCAGTGTAGGGCAGTTCTGACCAGACTGCAGTTCTTATGAATATTTCACTTCCACATTTCTTATAATAAACGAACAGCATGTCCTCAGTTGAGCAGATAAAGGCTCCTGCCTTTTGTTTGCATTCCACAGGAACTGTTCAGTGGCAGTAAAACTGCCAGTACTGCCCAAAGGAGACCACTCCCTACAGCTGGCAAATGTTCCTACTTATCTCGTTGGAGAGAAAATAATGAGGCCTCTGCAAGACCTCTACAAAATCAACATCCTTGCGGAGTATTATAGATTCAAACGGAGGATGGTGGAGAGTCCCTTCGAATGTAAGCTCTTTCAGTGTGCTGCTTTGTTCTGTAACTGGGTCTATTTCCACTTGGTGCTATATTTGAAAAATCATATTTGGAATAGAACTTTACTATGGATGGTTGCTAATTAATAATTTTCCATCAACTTTATATAGTCTTCCCTGTAAGACAGTAATGGTATGTAAAAGATCAACACTCAGGGCAAAGCTGGCATAAAGTGACACTCCTCTGCTTAATGTTCATGCAAATTTTCCAACTCTTCACACTTCATACTCTTGAAACTAGAAATCACCAGGTGCTATTTATCTGTCTTATCCACCTGCCCTTGTGAGTTGATACTGTGGTTCAATGCCAGTCATACCCACGGCTGTGTCCTGGCACGGAGGCTTTGAAACCCGTCATCTCACCTCTGTTGACTCTGGGATGGGAAAGCTCAGCCCTACCAAAACTTCAGACAGTATTGCCTGTAAAAGCATTGCTAAATGCTAAAAAACTGCATTAACAATCCCAACTGTCCCTTAGAGAGAATGGCTTTTCCAGAAAGAGCCATTTTTAATGGTTTCCTCCCACTAGACTGATGGGCACAAAGAGGGATGTGAAAGTCGGTCCTAGTGACCAGATAATCTAAGTGATATATCAGCAGGGACTGCAGCTCTGTTTGCTGCTCTGGTTTGGAAGGGCAGTTTCTGGAGAGAGTTAATATTCTTGCTGTTTTCTGCATAAGAATGTATGAAGTGTAGGGTATATGTGTGTGCTTACAAAAAGCAAGTTTACAAGTAGCATGATAATAAACCAAAATGAGCTTTGAATCCCAATTCATGTTTCTCAAAGTTTCAGGACACCCAGGTAAATCTATAATGAAAAATAAATCATGAAATTGCTTTGTTCCTGGTAAAATTTTTGTTGCAGAGTAACTACAGTGTAACTAACTAAAATGTAAATGTAGTAATGTCAATGTAATAATAACTTGAGAAATTATTTTAAGAGCATGCCAGCCAGAAGCTGTGTGTTGTTGTATGCACAGCACTCACTGCTCTGTGGGAAACTCACTGATGTTTCTTCTGAAATCTCTAGATCATGCTCTGTTAGTGGGGACCAAGCATCTTGTGACTTTTGATGGAAAAATTTATGATTTGGCATCAAGGTGCAGTGTACTTCTTGCCAAGGATTTTGTCCACAATGCTTTCACTGTAATATTAAGTGAGGAAACCCGTAACTCAAGATCACTGTATGTGGAGATGAACCAGACTGTGATCACTATCCACCCAAGACTGAAGGTAGGAGGAATAAGTCAAACATTCTTCATTTTCACAGCAGAAATTATCTTAAACCAACAACAACAACAAAAAAAGCTTTCAAAATATTAATGCTCAAAACACAGATCAGAACAGCTCTCAGACAAGTGCTTTAAAGTAACCACTTCTTAATCAGAAAATACCTCTCCAAAACAAAGCCAGTTTAATGCAAGGGCTGCCTCTTTGCTCTCTGCATACTAAAGAAAATTTTCAGTGTTTCTCTTAGATCATGTCAGAGGATGGTAGTGTTAGAGAGGTCTGGAGATGAAACTGGGCCTGTAGCCTTGGAGGCTTTGTGCTGTCTGCTCTTCTGGAAGTTTAACACAACTCCCTTGTTATTCCCTGATTCTGGGCTAAGCTGGCCCCACCTGAGCTTGCCTGCTATTGAACTTTAACAGTGACAGATTTGAAACTGCATTTTCATTTTAAAACAGATCTCCAAGATGTTCTCCTTTACGGAAGAGAACTGCCAAGTACTGGATAAATCACTTGAAAAGAATACCACTAATTCAAGGAGAGAAACCAACAAAATAGAAATATCTAATCAGAAAGGAGTTTCTCTATCCTGTGACTTTCAGTATGATCTCTGTACTGTCACTCTGGCTGGGTGGCACCATGGTAAGTACCAACCATATAGCCTTTGTCAGCTGTTAGTCATTTTTTTTATCTCTCTAAATTATTACCACCTGTCGTACCAGCATCTGGGTTGTCTTTCACTTGTCTTTCCCCTCTTCATTTATGCACAGTCTGGAAATGGCCCTATGCATTCCCAGTAATTGCCAAATAGAGCATGGATCATTCCAGTGGTTAGTAAGTGGTTATGGATTAGTGATGATTCAATGTAATAAAGCAGACAGATGTAATGCAGTCAGCCCAGCCCCAAACCCTGGTTGAGAATCACTGCTTTAGGGCTGGCTTAGCTTGTCAGACCTGCAAAACAACTACAGAGGGAGGCCTAAAACCTTACAGGGTTTTTGGTATACTAGGAATGCATTCCTATCCATGTGCCCCACACTATTCTAAAACCCACACTCCCAAGATTAGCAGAGGATGGATCTGATGCCTTGATGTGGTCAGGAGAAACACATGACCAGCTAAGACAAGAGATGGCAATGCAGGCTGGGACAAACCCAGAATGGCTATCTGGCCATACCTTCTCTTTTCCATGTTGGAGCTGAGCACTGCTGTAAGAATAACTAGAGCTCAGAGACAGCTTCTGTAACTTTCCTGCATCTACTCGTGACAACTACTATTTTACCCCATTTCAATTTCATCCCAGGTATCTCAGCTGGGCTTTTTGGCACCAATGATAATGAAGCTGGAAATGAATGGATGCTTCCTAATGGTTCCTTCACTGACAACGTGCAAGAGTTCACACAGAGCTGGCAGGTAAGGAGCTCAAGGGCTTCTCTGTGCAGGGGACCAGGGGTGCTGAGCACAAAGGGCAGTGTGTACTCAGTAGCCTACTCAGCTGTGCTGGTCAAATGGAGCTTGAAAAAATCCTTCCTGACCAATTAGCTCAACTCTATGTAATACAGAAAGTGAAAACACCATCAGGTTAAATCTGGCCAGGTATTGAAGCCTGAGCTAAAAGCAGCTGGTCACTGCACTGCTGGAGTCACCTCACCCTGAACTGTGAGCTCCCACTGGCAACTGGCTCCAGGAGACTGACCTTCCTTCCACCAATGTTCCAGTGCCACAAGGCCAGGGCTGCATAACAACAGGAGGCAAAGGAGGAGCCTGCAAGGTCTGGCTCCTGCAGGATGAGGGTTATCACAGATTAAACTGTCAGTTCATTTTTCTTAATAACTAAAAATCACTAGAATTTACACTTACTTAAAGAACTTTTTGGTTGGTTTTGGGTTTTTTGTTTGTTTTCATTTTTTGTTTGTTTGGGGCTTTTTGTTTGATTTGGAGGTTTTTTTAAAGACTTCTTTATCTAGGAATAACCCAGCAACGATAGGAGGATTTTTTTTTCTGCATTAAAAAGATCTAGTAAAAGCACATCTTTGACCTGTCAGATCTATATAACAAGAGAACCAGCCAACTGCCTGCTGTGTCAGTGAATAACAGAATCAAGAGAAAATCCCTCAGTGAATAACAGAATCAAGAGAAAAAGGAAACAATGTCTAATCTGTAATATTAGTTACATCTCAATATTATTGAACAATAAACATTAGAGCAGTGTACTGAGCTGCCCATATCTTCCTTTAAACCAGCTCACACTGGAAATCTGAAGAATTCATCCTAACCTGATGTATTAAAAAACAAAGTCCCCCAACTTCAGTAATTCTGCTTTCCCAGGTGAACAAGTGCAGTCTTGTACCACAGAAAGAGAAGCCATGTCCAATTACAAGCAAGCAAAACATCTGCAGAGTGTTTTTTGAAGAACCACATTCGCTTCTTAGGAACTGCTTCAAAGTTGTAAGTAGAACTTCAGCCATGAAGGACTGTCTGAATCACTCAAGTGTCATTCTTCAAAGAAGGACACATAACTCTTGCAAGGATGTAGAAGTTTAGTCACAGATTACTTTAGAATAATCATAACAGCAATCCAAACAGAAAAAACAAAAAGCTGTTATTATCACCATATATATAGATTGAGGTCCTTGACATCCACATAGTAGAGGCATGATTGCACCACTCTTAAGGATACAGGTCTAGAATCTGGAAATAGAAATAACCCCCTCAATGTTAGGAAGAGAATAAAGGTTTATGAATGGCCCTAATGAGGCAGGGGGAGGGAGACCCAAATCAAACCTTTGGGTCCAGCTGCAGGTGCCCCCTGCTCCCCTAAACAATCCCTTTGTGTTAAGGTGGACCCCCAGCCCTTCTACACCATGTGTACACAGGACACCTGCGAGTCCCCGGCCCCAGGGGCTGCCTGCAGCTCAGCAGCAGCTTTTGTTCATCTGTGCAACCGGAATTTTGTCCCTGTGGAAATCCCTCCACAGTGGTGAGTTTCATTTCTTTTCCCTCCTGAATATTCTGACTGCATTGCTCTAGTTCTTACATGTCTGTAATTCAAGAATGCATGAGAAAATAAAACTAATCAATCTGACTGTGGGCATAAGCAAAACTGAGTGTTCCTGGAAACAGTTGTCTCGCTCCTTGGCTATCTCCCCTTCCTGCTGTTCCCTCACCAGCACACCACAGCCCACCCACTTCACACTCTTATACAAACTTCTACACATGAATATGAAATACAGAGACAAATTTTGTTAAATCTGAGTCTGAATATCCACTTGAAAACAGAGCTTTAGAACAGCTTGGGAGTTGAATGATTGAAGTCAGCTAGTGCTGCTGGTTTATATTATCCCATTTCTGAAGAAAGGGATTGGAATGAAGGTGGATCACAAGCTCAGTTAACAATAATATGCTATTAAAGCATGCTCTTAAACAAGCAAAGTACACTGGGGATGTATACAAGAATAAACATATTTAAGGAAAGAAATAATTCTTCTCTATTCATCTTATGTATCCAGTTTTGGACACCATGTTTTACTTAAACTGTGAACCAATTGAGAACAGTCATGGGGAAAAAATTGTAGGATTGAGGCTTAACATGAGTTAAGTCTCTAAATATGTAAACACACTAAAGAGAAGGAAGTGTAACAGACCAAACTACAGTAAGGGAGAGTTGGGTTTCACACAGTGAAAGAGTGTGGCCAGTCCAGTCACGCACAGTAACCGACAGCCAGCCATGGTCAAAGAACCAAACAGAAAGTGTCTGTCCAGAGTAACTACCTCTGCACCACTTCCTAGAAATTCACTCTTGTCAAGGATTTTCCACTGAATAGCTGAACCATCCAGAGCCCATAAACTTCAGACATAATGCTGCTCTTTCCCTCCTAAACGTGAATTTATCAAACGTGAAAGAATCCTACATCTTTCTTTCAGTTTAGCGTATCCAAGATAAAACTGTACCTAAAATGCTGGAGTACTTTTCCCACAGCTTGTTGATGTCATAAATGTATTTGATGCTATTTTTCCCTTCACAGATTCTTGTAATTCAGTGTAATAACAGGTTGCATTACATGTCACCTGTACTTACTAACCACTTACCTGGATTTCATCTCTTCTTCATTTCAGCTTGAGCCAGTTCTGAAAGGCACATACCAGCCCTGGAGATGGAAGAATCCTTTCAGCACCCAAAAATAGAAGTTATTTTAGGCAGACAAGCTAGAGGCAAGAGTAGGAGAACAGTAGCAGTGCAGATGCATTAGACAATGAATATAATGAAGCACATATAGTATAAAAGGAAAGCTTTCCACCAGAACCCCTGAGGGCAAGAGGAATTATTTCAGTATACTGACAAGAAACTATAATCAACCAAAGGAAATTGAACACAATAGTATCAATTACTTTAAAAGAATTCTCCCATTCAGTGGCAAAATTGTGTCTCCACAAGCCTTGAATCATAGCATAAATACATTTAAAAGCTGACAAAAGGTCTCTTCTAGCTCAGATTAGTACAAGTGGAATACTTTGTGAAAGCAGCATTATCAGCTTTGAGTCAGCAGAGATGCTGACTTCTTTTTTCTCCAGAAATGAAACTCTGCTGTTCAGCGGTTCTGGACAAAGTCATCTTTTTTTTTTTTTCAAGGGAAGTGCTCCAACACACGAGAGCTACAGTAGAAATAAGATGGTTAAATAATTGAAAGCACTTAACAATTTTCTCATTTTTATGCTGGCTGATTTTTCCCTTACTAACGTGTACACTGTTAAATAAGAAACACCCTTCTTGGTATCTGTGTACCAGTTTCACGTTCTCCCTTTGTGCCTTTAGAAGCCCTTTCTCAGAAATCAGTTGATGTGTTTGGAAAGGGTGATTGATATCTATCCAACCCATAAAGTAGCCTTAAGGTGCTATAGCCGTTGTTGTGTGAAAATGTCTTATCTGTTAAATCCTTTTCTATATTTTAAGTCTATTGATTAAAGAAATGCATTACCCTTCTCCACCCGTACCTGGAAGGCAGCTATTCCTCAGCAAAAGGTTAACACTGCAAAATCCTTCCCATGCCTTTGCATAACGTGCAAACATTGAAATAATGGTGTTCTGAACTAGGAGATAATGCTAATAAACATTTGACTTCCTTATTATACTGCTAGAGTACATTTTTATTGATTATTCATAAGAATATAAACCTGTACTGATCTACAGAGCTGGAATTGGCTGGGTTTGAATGGCTCACAGACAAACCCAGCACTGGCCTCTGTTACCTCATGGATGCTGCTTTCAGCCACATTATCTTCCTGAACACTGAACTCTCTAGTGTGACACACATTCTAACTAAAACATGATCCCCACACTAGTCAGGAAAAAACCCTGCACTTGTTAGGATTTCCACACACATCAGATGCTGCTGTGTAAAACACGGTAGAAATCAAGTCTTCCTCTGTGGTAATTTTGTAACTGCACCCTTACAGACGTGTTTTGTAATGAAGCCAAAATTGTGTGAAATATTTCTGGAAGTTAAAGACTATTTATATCAGTTAGTGATTAAAAAAACCGCATCATCTTCTCCCCAGTCACTGAATGTCATTTCACTCCCCAGCTAAGCACACCGAGCACCTTTGAAAAAATCCTGAGGTGACAGTTGCAAGAACAAAGTAAAATGTAAGCAGGTAGAGGAAAAGATTCAGAAAAGCTCAGTCAGCAATAAACAGAAGTTTAACTAAATGTTAACTGCAGACTGCAACACTGAGCTGGACACAGACACCAAGTCTCCTAAAAGCTGCACGTAACTTATCACCGGTGATAAAGACGCCTTTTCACCCCCAATAAACATTTTAAACTACAGCCATTGCCCTCAGCTGTTGCTGGTTATCTCTGAGCTGTTCCCAGGTTATGCCCTTCATGTCCAGATCCGATCCAGCCCTACCTAAATCCAATCCAATCCTACATCAATATAACTTTTCAAATGCATTCAGTAAATACGAATCACTGCCAGATGGCAAGCCACGTTTAATTCTGTAAATTCACAGACACCAGCGAGGGTGCAGCAGTTTTAACTGTTCATTTTCAGGGTTTTTGCTGTTTATTTCCAAAGTTTTACTGCCTGGTTAGAAAGCACGGCAAGGTGAACATATTTGGAACAAGCTTCAGATTCCTTGCATAAGAAGCATTCAGATGGAAAACTATCATCAGTAAGAACAGTTGCCAGTCAACCTGCTGACCACATGGATCATTTCTAAAAGGCTACAGCATTCCACAAGTGGATTTTTTTTTCCCCAGGATTAGAAAAAGTAAATAAACCCAGACTATCAAAATTCTGTATCTCTGTCTATTTTGGTATTACGTGAGCAGGGTCTCAGAGCACAGGACTTCATTATCCTACTGTCTCTGATGTGGTCTCATGTGGAATACCAAATTCAAGGCTGGAAATTGCACTCTGAAATCCAGTCCTTCATCTGCAAAGATCTGAAATCTTTAAAGGACACTATTTAATTTCCACATGCTTTGAAAACATAACCTCACAATTAAAAAATGTATTTACCATCACCTGGTTCTCAAATTGTACTGTTCAATCAGAAATCACCTTCCTTCCTACATGCATTCCCAATTAACACAGCTATATTCCTGGACAACACAGTCCCAAACCACAAAGCTATTCCACACAGATAATGCAATATATTCTTCACGATTCAAGCTCTCTTTAGACAAAAGGGAAAATAAATAGTAGTAACATTTCTTCTTTTTAAAGGTGTTTTGATGTCATATTTTTGTGTTCTCCCACAGAAGGAAGAAAGATACATAAAAATAAAATATACTTAGAATGATTTAAACAGCTAAAAACAGCATACATTGGAACAAGACACCTTCAAAGAGAAAAATAACACTTAGGGGCAGAACACTTGTTTCATAAGGTCGTAAAAGTATTTGCATCTTGGAGAACCTATTCCAGGGAATCCTGAATCATGCCTTTTCAGTTTATTTCACTTCACTGGAACACAGGGGTCATTACTGTACCACTTTCAATATTTCAGAAACCAGAGAGGTTTTTAAGTACAAGACTCTGCTTTATGGTTACCAAGAGACATCTGTCTTACAAGTGGAGTTTATTGACGTGGTCATTACTGAAAGAGAAAATACAGGCAAAGATGTTATTTCCAACCACAATCTAAATAGACTGAAACACATTTCAGTTCATTACCTTCGCTCCAGGTATTGAGCTCACCCTGGTAACATGAGTTCTGTGCAGCCCGTGCTGCCAAGAACACCCACCCCGCTGTAGGAATGACTCCCTCAACACGTGCTCCCAGAAACAGCAACTAACACAGAAACATGGAGCATTCCTAACAGCGTGGACATCTTACTCAAAACATCAAACAGGTGTTTCTCAAATCTGTTGGTGTAAAGAGACGCTGGAAGACACGAACATTGCAGTTATTATCAGATAAGCGCTGATCCCTACACTTGACTCTGAGTCCGACTTCTCACTTTGGTTTACTCCAAGAGTAACTGGTGGTTGGTTGAAACCACAAACACACAGAATGGTCTGACACCAGGAAAGTACATTTCCAGTTATTTTAGGCAGAAAAACAGTATCTAGGGGATGACTCTCTGCAAATCCTCCACTTCAAGGCTCCACATATCCTTATGCACAGGGTTTTCGGAGAGATCTGTCATCTTTATTGCTCGAAGAACAGGCTCAGGACTGCAGGACCGCACCACACCCATCACCATTACATATTTCCCTAAAAAACAAGCAAGCGTGAAATTAAATTAACCTTTGTATATTCATTTTAATTCATAATGCAAATTATTTAAAGCCAATTACACACTGTGAATTGAAGCTGCTGACACTTGCAAGAAAACTCAAGGCATGAAGACTGTCTAAAACTGAATTTCAGGAAAAAAAAGCTTCATTATCTGTACAGCCACTTTTACAGCAGATTTGACTAGATTTTCACATACAGCAAGAGCCAAACAAGCACACAATTTTTCCCTCTAGTGCGTAAGTGGGCGGAGGGCAATTGAGAAGACTGAAAATTTATGCCAAGTGCCTGTTTGGTGCCACAACTCCTGCAGCGCCGCAGTCCAACACTTCTCCAGTCCATCTGACGCTACTCGTGAGGGGCAGAAGAAGGAAAAATAGGGGGGGGGAAAGAAATTCCTATCCCTGTTCCTGGGCTCCCGCGTGGGAAGCGACACCTCCCAGGGGCCGGGATGTGCCGAGCTCCGCTGGAACAGGCCCGGGCAGGGAAAGCGCCGCTCCGCGGGGTCCCGCCGCCCCCGGTACCTGCGCTGAGGCACGGCCGGCCCTGCGGCACCTGCTCCACGCCCAGCACGGTGAAGGCGCCGCTGGGGTCCCGCAGCCGGGCCGAGCCGCCGCGGTCGCCGCGCTGCACCTCCAGCACCGTGCCCTGCATCCACACGGCCCGCAGCGCCAGCGGCGCCCGGCCCGCCCGGCCCAGCAGCCACGTCCCGCCCTCGCCCCGCTCCGCCCGCCGCAGCTGGGCCGACAGCACCTTCACCGGCGGGCCCGCCGCCTCCCCGGCCATGCTGCGGCGGCGGCCGAGGGCGGGAAGGGCGGGGAGAGCGCAGGGCCCGCCCCGGCGGCGCCTCAGGGGGGGGCCGGAGCGCTGCGCTAACGAGGCTCCTGGGCTGCAGCTGGAGGAGCGGTGCCGTCAGCACACACCGCGCTGTGCCGGGCCTGGGGCTGTGAGAGCGGTGCCGTCGGTACACACCGCGTTGTGCCGGGCGTGGGGCTCATCGCCTGGCCCCAGGTGGTTCTCACTGACCACAGCGGCCGCACCGTGTGCCGAGCCGGCACCCCCACACCGGGATGGGGGACCCGGCGCCTGGTTGGTCCTCGCTTTACCTGAATTCGGCTCAGGATCGGCTCCTTAACGTGCAAAAACTAACGTAAAAGTCTGATTGAGTGGTTTGATACCGTTCGCTGTGACTCAGCCCCGCCCTGCAGACCCCGCTCTGCTCTTTGCCCCCAGCCGGTGTGAGCCCTCCCGAGCCATCCCGCTGCTCGATGTTTACTGCAGAGCTGATGAAGCTCCCCCGGTTTCATGAGAAAACAGGAAAAAGCCCGTGATGATTTTCCCAGGGATGCTCTCAGGATAACTTTTTATTGTATACTTATTCCACCTATGTGGAAATCTGGAGCGTAATGCACTGAAAGTATGGGGGGGGGGGGTTAAGATGGGAGGCTTTAATTCCAAGGCCCTTAAGAATTTATTTGCTGTCTGTTTATATTACAGACAGGCTAATTCGCTTTGCCGCAGCCTGAAATCCTTGAAATGTTATGGTTTCTCTTGGGTGGGTGAGTGGGTTGACATTTTCTTTAGAAAATAAGCCAAGAAATAAGCTAATGCAAAAACAGGAGGATGGAACAGAGAAAACACTCGGGAAAACCAAGGGGATGAATTAATCAGTTTCACAAGTCCTGTTACCAGCAAAAGTGCAGAACGGTTAAAAATGCACAGAGAACTGACTGCCCTGCAATCATTCTTCTTTAAAAGAACTTTTGTTCTCCACTAAAATAGCCAGTTTAAAAAAATATGGTTTTGTTTTGAGTAGCAAAATACATCAAAACCCTTTTTTTCTACTCACCCATAATGTTGTGAATTATTTATTCGTATATCTTTTTTCCAGAGATATTTTCTGTTTAGAGACATTCTGTAAATGGGACTTTATTCTTTTTATAGTGTGAGGAAGCAGTTAACTTTTTGTTACCACTTACAGTAAGAATAAAAGATAATATTGGTAATAACAATAAAAACACTGACATCTAAGCACAATACAGAACCATGTAATCTGGCAATCAAATCATATGGCTTACAGGAATAGAAAGACATTAGATGGTTACTGTATATGAATGCAAAATCTGAGCAAAGCTCATAGGAGAAGAATATTTGTAATTTATGTCCCTGAGCTGCAGTCACTTGACAGCATCAATATTTAGTTTCACATAAAAAAAAATTAATTGTGCCAAATATTGATAAAAGTATTGTATTCCTATTTGTTACTGCATAACAGGAGGGTCTAATGCTTATTAAGCCATTAAATCTACAGATGAAGGCAAGACCCCTACAAGAGTGTAATCTTCAGGAGAGACTTAAAGGTCCCTTTTACAGGATTTGCCTTCTAGAAACTGTGTTATAAGAAGGGCAGAAGCACTGGCAATCTGCACAAAATGGATTTGTTTTCCCAAACCAGAAAATCGTTGTCTCTCAGTAAAATGCAAAGTTGCACTGAATTATCTGCAAAGCTTTTACCAAAGAACTGTCTCAGCCAAGCACAGAGACACATTCTGAAGCTGCAAGGAAAGTCTGATGCCTCAACAGACTGGTTTCTGGAGGTGACCTCACAGTGATAATCCTCTGATTTAAGGGGAGCAGAGGAAGCTGAACACAGTTGGAAAAGGCAATGAGTTGGTGCCTGACAGGCTGTAAATTACAGTGTGTTAAACATGAACACATTTCCTGAGAGCACCCTGGGTGAGAGAGAGTTTTGGTTTGCACAGATTAAAAGAAAGGAATCAATCTTCTTCTGCCTGCTACTACCGTGGGTGCCTTTCTTCAAAGCAATCTTCAAGGACATTATTCCTCACACTGACGTGCATGTGAGGTGGTCACAGTATGGGTAAAATACAAAGGTCAAACTACACCTGGATAACATAGTCCAGAGCACAGCAGGAGCCAGGGCTGCCTGAATTACACTGGCACTATTTTGTTGGTATGGTGCCAAGAGACCTTAGAAAAGAATTTGACCCCAGATCTCCATGAAAAGAGATTTCCAAAGAAGCAGCAATTAGAAGTTTTCTGTCCAGCTCAGACCTGTCCATGCTCTTACTGACAGTACTACTTAAAATGGAAGAAATTCTTTCCTCCCCTCTCTAATTTTGGTAAAAGGCTGATATTACACAAGCACAAAAATCCTCCTTTCCCTTGGCCAGAAGTTCTGATCTATTACAGCCTTTCATCCTACCCAAAGGAGTTTTAAAAAATATCTCCACCCCAGTCTAAGGGTCAACGTGTACAGAAAAGGTTCTTCAATTTTATTTCTGTTTCACTTTCTAGCACTGAGAAGTCACTAACTGTGTTTCAAACAAAGTTTTAGGTTTTTGGGGTTGTTTTTAAGATTTGTACTTTGTACTAATGCATTACTCTGTAATGGAGGAGTCTGAGACTGACTGTCTTCCTTTCCTTGGTATTTCTATGAAAATTCACTGAAGGGCAACTTTTAGCACAGACAAGTATCAGGTTTCAACTTTAGAAGATCCATCCTAGTTTAGATTTATTTTCTTATACTGCGCACAGAACTACATGAAACAAACACAAGAATATAAAATTCAGTTGTTCCTGATGTTTGTTTTGTACTGCATAAAAGATGCAATGTGGACATGCTGACTGAAGTCTGGAAAACCATCTTAGTCTTTTGAGATTTTTTTTCCAGACTACCTATCACATCATCACTGAATTTAATTAATTATTTGAAATTAACAGATCAATGAGTTGGAATAAATGGGTTGGAAGTCAGTCATATTTACATCCCTAACCTGAGCTTCCGCTGCTTGTAATTTATGCTTTGGGACTGATCAGTCTGGCAGTCTTGTGTTTTTCCAGGAATTTCAAAAGACCTGGAGCCAGCAAAGTCATCTGCTGAAACAGGAAAACTCCAGATTCAAGCTGCCAAAGTTTTAGTTAGCAGGGAGCTCTGAATAAGTGGCATTTTAGAAGTGACTTGAAAAAGGTAGGTGAGTCTGAGCAGCAGACATCCTAATCCCACTACTTACAACAAGAAGAGTCTGGCCTCTCCCACAGAGTCATCCAGCCCAAACTGCACGCGAGTCACGCTAAGATAAGATGAATTAACATAACTTTCATGGCAAATCCTACTTGAGAACCTAATACAGATGCTATACATTGCATGTTAGCTTATGTTTAGTGGAATCCGCAGAGGATTACGGCAAGAGCCTTCCTGCAGCTGCCAGGAGCTGACAGCTGCACCCAGTGTGTGGCAGAGAAAAACATCATCTCCTCAGAGAGGGTGGAAAACCTCAGCTTGTACAGCCAGCCTTAGCATGAGAAATTATTTCATTGCTCTCACCATCACGCAAACTTAACCAGTTCCTGTCACTCACCACACACCCCTGCTGAGGGGAGCCTGCAGGCTATGAACACAGAGCAATGCTCTCCCACTTCGCTGACTCATTTCACTTACAAAGAATACTCAGAGGAAATGCTTAGAGAGCTCCAGTGGTGTTCTGCAGAAGTGGGTGTCACCTGTTTGCTTCTTTCCATGGTATAAATATGCTGGTATGGAACCAAAATAAATTGGTGTTCTATGGAATAGGATTATGACATGATTAAAGAAAAAAAAATAATCGTAGTCTTTACTTTACCAGTATTGCTTGCTGCTCTGGGAGTAGTCTGCAAAGCTGGCTTCCAGATGGGCTTACTCAAACTCCTGCTCAAGAAAAAAAGAACTCTTTTTAAACAAAAAATATGAATGGCATCCAAAGCGTTAGATCTTCATCCCGACTGAAGTGAAGCCAGTCGTTAGAAGATTTCATTTATTCAGCCTTTCTGCTTCATTTCACTTCATAAAAGAATTAGAGAGTCCCTATAAGCAGTGTTGGGGAATACAGATCACAGTGTCTTCCCTTGACAGCTGCTGCCTCTGCATAAATACACTCCAATTAGCATCATTAACATCCAGTTCATCCAGTGATGTGAGAGCAGAACAATTTTCCCAAAGAGAAGTAACCAGAAGAGGGGCCTTTTACTTTCAAAGTCTTAAAATCTGAGGTGTCAAATATTAGAAATATACAGAGAAGCCAGTAAGGCTGAGAAGTTACAGCCATTCCAGAGCATACATTGCCAGGATTCTGCAGTGTTCAAGGCCTCTTCAAAGATTCATGAAACAAATTTCTGGTGCTTAGTAGGGAGAGGCATTTACTAATAGTCAAATTTTCAAGCAAGCAAGATCCTTCTGAGGTCCAGTCAAAGAGCTCATCTCTCCCTACAAAGCTGATCTTGTTTAAACTGAAAGCATCAGAGCTACACCACCACCAATCAAGGTAATTTCAAATTAATAAAATGTTAGAACAGGATTAAAAGGCGTTCAGAATTTAAATATAAGACTCGGGAATTTTAAACCAATCTCACGTTACGCACACACCTGCATTAATTCAGGAAAAAGCTTAGGGAATTTTGAGATTAATATCAAGCTACTTGAATATGAAAGTTTGAGGTGAGCCTCCAAGAGTTACAGGGAGCTAGAGAGGAGAAAGCCCTCCTCTCTGTTGCTGTGTGAGGTACTATTTTGCAGAGTCTTCAGGAGATGGATGTTTAATAGCAGGTTTGGTAGTGGCTGCAGGTTACGTGACCAAGGAGACCGTCAGCTCTTTTACAGTCACTGACAATTTGTGTGAAAAGTGAATTGCCCTCACTATTCCCTATGCTTTAGCCAGTTCTGTTACTTGTATTCCCATGAGTATCACCTAGGACACATATGTGGTGCCTGTCCTTAACTAATAAAATTTTGCTCTGAGATCAGAGAATCTCCATGTAAAATGGCTGCATTTATTTTCCATGAGGCTGTGACTAAAGCTTTGTCCAGGGGTGCAGATAAAAAGGATCCTGGACTAGACACAGGTCACTAACAGCACTGGCATCCTCTTCAGAAACTGGATAGAGCAATGGTCCTCTGAGTCACCTGGTGATGGCAGAAACATCAGAGGAAGAGCAGAAATGGCCTTGAAAGGAGGAACTGCCAAGGGCTGAGCAGGAAGGCTCTGGTATTGATACTTCAGAAAGCAAAAGCAAAAATCCCAGCTGAAGGCACAGCTGGCCTTGTGCTGCTCTGCAGGGGGGACTCTGGGTGTGAATTCAGGACACACAGCTGAATGACCGAAAAAGCAAAAACAATATAAAGAGGAAATAACAGCAGTGAAACTTTTGTTTAAAGCTGCTCAGTAATAGCACTTACATGTTTTTATGTACTTAGGTGGACTGGGACCTAAAGAAGCTTGAGTTTTCAATTTCTTACATTGTGGTGTTCATTCTGTAAAGCAAGGTTCAAAACCAGAAGTAGTTACAGGCGTGGATTTACTGCCATACCCCTACACATAGCAGCTTGCTCCCCCACTACTGGCATAAATGAATGAATGAATGAATGAAAGAATGAATGAATGTTGGAAAGTTAATTTTGGATTAAAGTCATATCAGTGTACAGGCTATACAAGGCCTATTTTCATAGGTCTAAGAGAAGATATAAAATGTCAAATAAAATCACAAAGTTCTTCCTAAACCAGAACACTCAATGTATAATTGCTGAAGCATGTTTTCACATTCTCAGGCTTCTTTAATTTCTTAAAATAATCAAAAGACACAAGATTGTGTGAGCCAATGGGGAGGCATATCATCAGTTCATCTTAGAAAAACCTCTATGACCCATATGGAAATGCCACATTTTAAAATATAATTTGACATTAAAATGTCACAAACTGCCTCCACCTCTTAAGTCATTTTAATCACAGGTTCTAGTTTAGAGTCTGTACAGCACCTTATATTAAGCACTGTATTGAAGCTCTCTAATTAAGACCCATCTCTCTCCACTCAGCTCAGAATATGCTGTGTCAAATATCAATTTGATGGAATGAAGGTCAGACTTTTATTGTTGGCATTCAATGTCTTGAACAGCCATCACTGACAATTGATCCATGAGCACCTGATGGTACTCAGTTTTTGTTAAGTTAAATAAATCTACTGGTGCTCCAAGATTTTAATCACCTCATTCCATGAGACTTTAGACCTTGTGCTATGAACTACACAGCAAAACAACATGAACCGGAGGAACATACAAAGAAATTGTGAAAAGGACCTACTTCCAGGAAAAATATTAAAATAACTTTTTATGTTGAATAACCTGACCTTTCTGCTGAACTAGTGGTTGTGTGAAGACTGCAGTGAGGCAACTATATGAACACTTATGTACCTGAATGTATTTAAGCACTTATCAGTGAATTAAAAATATATGACTTTTTGTAGATGGCTGAAAGGTACATAGCTGTGCAACACAACAATTGTTTCTAAATGTAGCTCTATATAGGGCAGCCTCCAAACTAAACAACAAAACTGAGACTTGAAATTCAAATACAACCAAAAAGTGACTCTTTGGGGATTAAAAAATATTGAAGCCAACAATGCACAAGCTTTCAGCTTGTCATGAAAAGCAGCAATGAATGATAAATGCAAACCCAGTACACCCTATTTTCAAAACCTGACAAGCCCACAAAACCAGACTCGCAGTAGTGCACTCTATTGCAAAAGCCATCAGTGCTTGTTTGTTCAAAATAGAAACTGTCAATACTTTAAGAGCCAAGTAGGAGACATCAGTTCAGTGCAGATGGTGCCTAATGTCCATGCAAACGTCACACAGCACGGAGTGGCTGTGCGGAGCTGGCAGGACAGTGTGTGCACATTTTTGGTTGCACCTTTGGAGTTTGGACGTTCCAAACATCCAGCACTTACATTCAAGTCATTTCAAAATTTGCACAGGAGCATTTGGAGAGCTGTAGCTCTGCTGCAATTTGAACCAATAGGAGTTTCAGACAATAGGCACTTCAGAATGGCAAAGAGCAGTGCACGACCTCAGATTTGCAAGGCAAAGCTCATCAGAGACCTTGGGCTTCGTTGCCGGTTACAGCTTCATTTATGAGAAATCATACAGGGTGAAAGTGAAAGGCGCATATTGGTTTCTTTTTCTTATCTACAGATATCTCTGATTTGCCTATACATTCTCTAGACTCTTATAAAGATAATACTGTGATTATTAATAACCCTAACAGGTTTTTTAATTTTTGTTGTTTTCATAGATTTTAAGGCAGAGGGAGAACTGAACAGTTGACCCCACTGTTTGACACAGGCCACTGATTTATTTGCATCCTGGTGCCTCTGGCTCTTCCTTTGCTGGGAACTCAGTGGTGTGTCAGTCCACTCCAGACCACAAGAGCTTCCAGCACTCACCAGTGCAGCTGAGGAGGCTGAAGCACAGTCAGTATTGCATTCATGCTGACATTTAATGCAATGTTTTACACTCATTTCTGTGAAATCAAATACTTGGGTGAATATCTGAACAATAGCAAAAGTATTCTCCAGGCCCCTTTTTTTACCTCCATCCAGGTTGGTCAGCAACAGTTAACCAAATTGATGAAGGAATTAATAGCTTAGTGCAGACATTTTTCAAATGCAACTGGGCTGGCCCCAGTCACTGTCCAGTTCCACTGCTCCTCCCTGCCCAGTAAAATTAAGCATTCAGGTATCTATGTTAGATTCAGCAGCATAACGTGGATAGTGTTCACAAAATACTTTGGCTGGCCCAGTTAAATAACAGTATATGCTGCTTATAAAACCAGCACTGCTCTGAATCAATCACTGATTCTTCTGACTGAAGGGTGTATTTCCTCTTCTGAAGGGTCCACAGTGCCTTCTGAAAAATGCTACACAATTTGGGGCTCCTTTGGTATCAGCCCAAGTAATGGTAACTAATGACTTGCAAAAGCAAGGCTGGGAAGAACAGTCCTTATTAAGAAAGTCTCTGAAGTTTAGAGTCACAGGAGTGTTCATTTAAATAGTGCCACGTTTTACTCAAAGCTGGCAGTGTTTGATGAACATCTCTTTTGCTTGTGTCTGCTTTCCCTTCTGTTTCTTATAAATGTCATTGTACTACCCCAGATTATGGCTGGACATATGATTGTCTGGGGAAAACAGAAATTCCAGCCAAAAGAAACAGAACTGAAAGTAATTAGAAAATCTTTTTCATTCATCTTTTGATCTGTACAATAGATAGATGCATTTCCTTCTAAAGGCTGCATTTCCCAGATGTGAAACAGTAAAGCTCCCCCCACCAGTACTTCTGCAATCTTCGTCACACAGCTGTGGAGTGTTACAAACTGATAACAAAGAGTACATGTAACTCATAAAAGGAGCAGTGCCATGAAATTCTTACTCACGAACCGTGGGGAAAACTTCTGTCCTTGAATTCCAAACAGTTTGCATGTTTTACCATGTTCTCAATGTCTGTAGTCTTGCATTAAGCTCAGTTGAAGTCCTGGTACCTGAGTATAAAAGAGTGTACTATTGTTAGTTGTTTCATCAGCACAGTTACAGACAGATGCTTTAGGAGCAATGCTTTTATCTTTCCTGGTAGCTGTGTCTCATGCAGGTTCATACTGAAGAACAAGTTTCCATTACCATGTTCAATTCACTGGTTTTCATTCACACATTTATATTACCTGTAGATGTCTGAACATGTAATGCTTCAACTTAATAGCTCTAAAATTGTATCTTTGTGTTGCAGCTCTGTATAAATGGGAAAACTGTGCATTTCGGATGGTAAGAAATGAGCAGGCTCTGCATGAAAAGGCCTCTACAAAGTGGGAGGTTGTATCCTGGGTCAGCCCCAGTCCTCTGTCCCACCAAGGCAGAAGGGAGCTTCTGCTTCCTTTTCCAGCTTTTATTAAGTGCTACAGCTTGGTTGGCCACAGTTTGGCCTCTGGAAGTAGACTAGCTCTGATCATAGGAACACAAGAGCCCTGTGAAGGTGCAATGAGATGTCTAGATTGCAGACCTAGAAACTCTTGAGGTTTATCTAAGCATGTCCAAATGCCTCCTTCTGTTGCAGAGCTGTCTCATCACCCACTGCTTGGGGCTGAAGTACTTCCTGCTACCTTTTTTCCCCCCTTCCTCTCTTCTTCCTTCACTGTGCACAGACCCTGCAATAAACTTCTAATTCAAAAGGAAAGGGAACTCCTAATTGCACTGCAATTATAAAGCAACAGATGACTTATGCCTGGGACGTGATGCAGCTGCATTTCATCAGCCAGGAGTTGTTGCATAGACACAAAATATTGCATACACAAGAACTGACACAACTTTTATTTAACCCTCTGCCCTGTGAGCAAAGAGGTTGGGCATCAATTTCCAAACATGGGTTTGGTTCTCTAAATTCCCTGGAACTCAGGGCTATTTAAACTTCTTTCTACTCCAAACCTGTTGTTAAATTTAACATTTATTGTCTACTGCAGCTAAGACTGAATACTCATTTAACCCCACCAGGATATATGCTGTAACTACATTATATTCTAGGAAACTTTAATTAGTTCATGTTTTCATCTGAAATACAATTATATTTTTAAAGGCATTTTTTAACATAAAACACCAATTCAGTATTGTTTTCCTTTCCTTGGTGTTGCTACAGTTTGATTTTCATGGAACAGCTGTCAGTATTTTATCAAATTGAATGAAATAATAGGGGTTGGAAATAGTTCTCATCCCTTCAGAGACTTCATTAGAAACACTTTCTTTAAAGGGGTACCATCATCTTTTAAACCTCATCAATTTTATGCAACGGTTTGCCAGTGAGATCTTTTGTGGGAGTGTGGGTACTTTGGGCTTACATTTGGGAAATTCAGGCTCAAACCCCTTTCTGGCACAGAGGGACTCAAGGACATGCTTGTCAAGCTCATTTTGAAATTATGACCTCACACCATAAGCCTGTAGAAGGAAACATTCCCTGGTCTTCCTGTAAACTTTCTTTAGTTCACAGAAAGTCCTTCAAGAGCCATTGACCTGCAGAAAGAATGGGACTTGCCTTTAAACGTGAAGACTGGGGCACTGAATTGAGAGAGGTGAGCCACTGAATTCTGTCTCAGCCTCAAATACCACTTATGTAGCTTATCTAAGAACTGTTTAATGTACTGTACGTACCAGCACTTAGAGCAGTCACCAGAATCCAGTGTTTCCCACTCATAGGTGAGTGCTCAAGTCTCTCTTGGCTAACAAATAATCCTTGTTCCTTCTCAATGAGAAGAGACTGCTATTTAGTAGCTGAGACAACTTTCAGAAAGGGAGAAACTGAAGTTTGACTGCCCTCTTGCCAAGCAGGGACACAAACCTCACTTTTCCACATACTGAAGAGTCTTCTAAGTACTAATCAGCTGGTCCAGCAATGCTCTCCTGGCTTGCTCCATTTTTAAAGGACTGCCATTCTTCAAAGATCAACTTTTGAACAAGCTCAGAAGAGGGAAAAGCTTCAGACACACATCTATAGGCAGTAGTTCCTTACTGGCTGCTTGCATGGAATACTGGCTGCTTTGGATCTCCTTTCAAAGAAACTCAGTGCTCTCAATGTGCACCACAGAGGACCTTAAACAGGTCCAATACTTTATCTCAATGTCATGACACATTTATTTTGGCTTTTAACCTAATTAAATAGTGCAAGGTCACCAGGCAATCTGTTCCAGAGCAGGACCGAAATCCATGCTGGGCCTGTTTCCTGATCTGTAAATATAAAGCTGGTCCTCGCAAAAGGCTTTGTCATACACAGATGATGAATGTGATTTAACCAGCACATAGTATTGTTGTTCATCCAGCAAGCTTCTCTTGTCACACTTGAGAGACAAGCAGAGCAGGTCTTTGCAGTTTGAATTGCCTTGGAAAAGTATGTGTGCTTCTTGGAGTCAGATTTTCACTGTTTCCTGCATAGACATATTATACAAGTTCACTCTAATTCTGTGCAATGATTGCTGACAAAAGATGTAAATAATACATAAGAGACTCGGGGGGGGGTGAAGAGGGTGGACACTACTGAAAATAACTTGGATGATGAAGTAATCAATTGAGAAGATGAATTTTCAACACACTGACTGTGTGGAGGAATTAGAACACATTTGCAGCAATCATCCTGACTTCTCTAAAGCTCAACTCATGACAGATAATGATAGATAATTATAGAAAGATAGTAAAGATCTTGTGAATTCTGAGCCTGCAATTACTTGCACAGTAAAAAGCTGGAATTCTTTCACTAGATGTCTTCAGCATGCAGGGATGAAAACATAGTTTTCCCTCCAGCAGAGGGGGCTTGGCAGTAAGTTTTCTAAACACAAAACCAAATGATTTCTTTGGAAATTGAGTAATACTAAAATTAAACTGACTTTTGTATGAACTTGCATAGTGTTAAAGGTAAAAACAGAACTTCCTCCAAACAAGGCATTCAAATATAAACAGACACAATTCAAATTGAGTGTTGCCCTGGCTATCTTTATTTCTCTTGTTTTTCAGTGTGGCTTTTCTATTTCAGCAGAAAGCCCTTGTAGTTGTATCTGACAGGCACATTGTGCAAGTAAAAAGTTTTTTCTCCTAATTCCTTTAAAAAGCTGAGTCCAAGTTCCTATTAAATCTGTCCCTGTGAACTACTTCAATAAGTGTACAACAAAAACCCCAGAGAAGACACTGAGGTAAAGTGCTGGTGGAAAGTTTTCCAAGCCACAACAAATCTGTGTATATGAAGGCAGGACATGTCCTGTCAGTAGTCCAGGAATTTACAGCATAGTTTTCTAATTATTTGAGGCTACTCTGTAGTTTTAAACAATTGACACAAATCTGGATGGCCAAAAGAGACACTGGCAGCCTCACAGTATGGGTGAGGCCGAAACCACGGATGTGATCCAAGGTGGTGGTGTACAAAAGCACATTTAAAGCTAACACTTAGTATTATGTTGCACACAGTGTTACATAAAGACAAAAGAGTGACACAAACTTCCCTGTAAATTAAAACAGGCTGGCTAGTCTTCTGGTAAATTCCTCTTTTTCACAGTTAACTGGATTTGTCCCCCAAGGACTGTTTCCTTGTTTGATTTCAACTCACAAAGAGGAAAAGTACAGGCAATTATATTATCTTTATTACTTCTGATGAATAATTTTACTCCCCATGTGACCACTTGAATAGCACTGTTCAGTGCTGTTCACAACCAGATTCTTTTCTTTCTAATGAGAACTAGCTGCCAATTTCAATGACAGATTCTGGTAAATGTAATTATTTTCACCTCTGTGGCTCCAGCTTCTGGTGAAGGAACTATTGAAAATAATGATGCACTAGAGTAACTCAAAACGAAATTTATGCCAGATGTAGCAGAAGGTGCAAATGACTCACTATGACCAGTAAGGGTACAGCACTTTCCCTCCCTGATGTGGGCACAGGCTGTCCTGACAGAGCCACAGTCAGCAGTCCCCTTGCAGGATGCTGAGGTGCATCACTGCAGCAGCCTGGGCTCTGCCCACTCACTGCCCTCACTGGTCACTCTGGTAAGTTCTTCTCAGAAGGCAGGATCTCAGCACCCACCCTATGTTTGTGGGGTACAAGCATCACCACCCACATAGCCCCATAATTTTCCTTAAGTACTAATATACTGAAATAAAAAAGAGTATAGGGGGGTGGAGGAGGAGGAGGTGGAGGAGGAGAAGGAGAGTTCTGGTCACACTAAATCATTATTTAGTGTGGATATCAGATTGTCTGTTAAACCTTCTATTTGGAGGTGGATGTACTATGTACTGACATACTATTTCTGGTGTTGCTGGTAGATGAGAAAGGGGTTTACAGCAGTTCATTCGGAGGAAGGGGGATGTGGCAGGTCACTGTGTGTCCTCAGTCCCCAAACCAGGGTCCCATTTAATGGCACCTGCTCTGATAGATGGTGAGCCCCAGGCCCTCCTGCCTTTGAGTCCCCTCATTAATACCACATCTTCAACACTTCCACCCACTGGTATCAGTTCTCCCAGTCTTTGGACCTGGTGTCCTCCACATCCCTTACCCCACTTCTCCAAACCCATTCCTAAACCTCTTTCTTCTCTGTAGAGCTGCCTTTCTTCTCACAAAATTAAAATATCCACACCAGAGCATCCCCTCCCTGCCAGAACAACCGTGGTCTACAATCCCTCTTGGATTCCTGCCTGCCTGGAATCACTGCAGAGCTGCCCTCTCATAAGCCTGGGGCACTCTGAGCACTGCCCCTGCCTTTTGGCTCCCCAGTGCCACCTACCCCTCGGTTCCCTCTGGGCTCCACAACAATCTGAGCTCCTTCCTGGCATCAGCTCCTTGGGTATCCCCTCCTCGGGTGCACTTTGTGAAAACCCTGACTCTTGCCTTTCAGATGGGAGGATTTCAAAACAAACCAAATCCTCCACCATTCACCTCTGTAAGAGCAGCAAAAAGGGGAAAAGCAACTGGGTGTCTTTCAGAAAGCAGTGCCCTGCTGTGGGGGGCACTGGAGGGGATTGA